CCACGCTATGTGCCTCAATTTGAAGGGCGCTTGTGTTGATAAATAGCCCAAGAGTGTAGCCCCCAAATGTATACAATAATAGATTTTCTTTACAAGTTTAAAATGTTTTATTTCAAAACGTCTGCTACTTTCTGGACAATCCTCGTAATTGACCAAAATGTGCGATTTTTATTAATCACAGTGACAATACATATTACATACATATATGTAAGCGGAACTTCGTGAAACATGAAAACATCCCGTTTTATTACGGCTCGCTAAGGCAGCTTTATTATACCAAGGAGTGCGCGAAGGAGCGCGGCCAGCATATGAGAACTTCGTACGCGACATCCAAGAAGGACGGTCGATAAATAGAGCAATGTATCGAGCCATTGTTACTGTTCAATAAACGCCCATTGTAAATTGTCGTATAGTGTTTAATTTAGGGGTGTAATACGGATAATACCCCTAATCTTTTATACCGTTAGTGAATCTTTTACATATATACCTTTCTTATTATATTTCAGGAGTTATTCAATTGGTTAGTGAACTAAACAAATTCCAAAGTCCGTCGATTTGCAAGAATGATCGGGACAATTTTTGGAAAAGGTTGTCTTAGGGTTCCACCATCTGTAAAAAAAATTAAGAACGCTCTGTGAGTCACCCAGTTTGAAAGACCAAGCATCGTTTTGTAATAGTTATTTACATTATTAGTGCGGGAACAGTTATTTTGCAGATGAGCGCGAAGTTTGGCGGCGCGAGTGCGCAACGCGCACGAGCGACGCAACTCGCGCTTAATCAAGCAAATACTGTTCACGCACGTAACATGTATTCTATTTTTTGCACGGATTAGTTAAATCGAATTTATATAAATTCAAATCCTTTTCGCGAGATTTTTGCGACATTATAATTCTTTTGAAAAAATCAAGTCCTCTATGCCGATAAAGTAGAAATTTAGAAATTTAAAATGTCAATTTATTGTTCAAAATTCTGGTTTAAGCTTATTTTTGCCCGTGTACTACAGGGAATGATGTAAAGTGTATTTATATTTTCTTTTTTACTCTTCCATCATTCTACTTATTAGTTTATGATCCGCACTAAATAGATAATTTCGTTGAATTTTTAGGCACTAGTGCGCGAAAGTAGATAGTCAATTGTAAAATTGACGTTCCCGACGTTCGTGTTTTATTGGGAAAACGTGATTTAGAACGAAGGAGTGCAAAAATTTCTTTATGTCTTACTAACCTATCATAGCACATTTTATATCTGTGATACGCGGGCGTAAAGTGGTACTTTACCTTACCCCTAGGGCATTAAGTATCACCTGACCATAGTAACTGTTTTATACTTAATGAAACAAACCAATATTTGCAGGTCATTGAAAATTAGAAACGTCAATATTAATTGTCAATACCTACTAAATCACAAGATTGGCCTTATTTCGTATAGTTTCTGGAACTTCTTGCTCATTCACGATGAATTGAATTATTTAAAATTACGTTTGACCGTTGAGTGAAGGATCTGTTTGACGCTTATACCATTGAATTTAGATACCTAGTTATAAATTCAATGCTTATACTATGAAAGAGAGGGGACCCGTAATAGAGAGCGCGCGCGTGAAGCAAATTGCGATCATACTGCCACCACCAGTGGCGCCCGCTCGGTTATTACATTAGAAAATTACAATTTATTTATACTGCCATCATGGTACCATTATTATTATTATTAGTCAATGATGGTACGATTAACCTGTGTGTACAGTTGTCGGGCATAATATTGGGTTCTTATTTGAATAGAGACAAAAAACGCGATAGGTAAGCGTAAACATACGACTCGACTTTGATCGTTTCGGAAACTGGGTGCGCGACATAAACGCAATATTATTGAAATGAACGTGTACGTGTATGGTTGTTTAAATCGGTTTATTGCGAGGTCAACCCTTTTTAAAAGGTTTTGTATAATCAGAAGTTGTGTATTAAGTGACTTCACTGAACAAACGCTCTTAATCAGTGACTGTTAAGGTTGTTTCGGCACCCTTCAGTGTTCACAGGTAAATACCAAACCCCACAACATTCAGTTGAGCGCACTATCAGCGCGGCTATCATAGACACCTTTAACCCATCACCTTAAATTCAAATTTCAACGTGAATAAATATGATTTATAATAACACTTAATCACATTGCAATCATGTTTACTCTTTCCCAAGCTACGCCAGGCACTTCTGACAACAGGGGTGGGTTGGGGTTAAAAGATTCTACGGTACCTCTAGAAAATCAACGATACACACAAGGCTCAAGATCTTTTTCGAACGTCGTGGCCCTTTCATCGTTTCCTAAAAAGGATCAAGCTCTAATATATCCATCAATAGAAGGTTTCAATGTGAAAGACTATGTTCTTGCAACTGGAAAAATTGTCGGTCCCAAAAACGTATTGTTTGCTTCGCGTATGAGTAACAACCGCGTTTGCATATACTTATCTTCAAAAGAAACTGTTCAAAACTTTATTGAGGAATCTGGAGGAGTAAACATCAACGACATATTTGTACCTGCTAGAAAATTGATTCTACCGGCTAAACGAATTATTTTGTCAAACGTTTCACCTTGTATTCCCCACTACGTACTGGAAGACGAACTAAAAAGAATCCCTCTGCAATTGGTTTCGCCGATTTCATTTATTGGAGCGGGCATCGGACTTGATGAGTACGCTCATGTCCACAGCTTTAGGCGACAGGTCTTTATTATATCAAACCCTGACAAACCGAACGACTTCCCGTCATCCATCGTTTTAGATTATGAGGATGATCAATATAGAATCTTTCTCTCTGATGAAAAAGTGAAATGTTTTCGATGTAACGAATATGGACATATTGCTTCCAAGTGTACGCTTCCAGAAAATCAACCTTCTACACAAGATGATACAGTACGTAATAGCAGTAAAAGACCCCATCCACCAACAACTCCTTCTACCGAAGTCACATCCTTAGATCAAATAACTGAGATACACGATGATCAGGAAATTTTGAACAAGGAGAGCGACGCACGCAGTGAATCAGAAGCAAGCGAATTTTCGATCGAACAGGCAGCTGCTGAAGAAAACTTCATAGTTCCCAATAAATGTTTCCCTATTCGAACCCCAAAAAAGCGCAAAGTTGAGCAGTTGTCACCCGAAACCCATGATGAAATTCAACACCTCTGGGACGAAAATAACAAATTCTGTCTAGATTTCGTAACCTTTTCTGATTTCCTTAATCAAGTCAAAGGCAGCAGCAACCCTCTAGATGTTGCAAAAAGGTTCACGAACAATGTCGATGATCTTATAACATTGATTAAAGAAACAACTCCTTATTTTTCACAAAGATCAACAAAGGAGCGTTGCAAACGCATAATAACCAATATTAAACGAGACTTACAGAAAGAATGCAGGGTACAACAACCTGATGTAAGTCACCAGATAGGAACTCCTGAGTCCGAGCGCACACAGTCCGTTGAAAGCCTTACCTTCTAAATGAGTATGCAGAAAAATAATTTCAGAATATTTACACTCAACGCACGATAGTCCCTGGTTTGACATTATCTTGTGCTGTTTTCCATTTTGTACGAATTTGGAGATCTCCAAGGTAGTCCATTGACCAGCGATTCCAAAATTGTTGTTGTAGCTTTGATAAATACTGCCACCTGGATAATCTATTAGTGGGAATCTCCACGAAGTCAGTATTCGGTATGGCCGTAAGTCGACGACTAATAAGGAAATGAGAAGGAGTTAGTACTTGATAGTCATTAGGGGAAGAAGAAAGCGGGTAAAGAGGGCGCGAGTTAAGTAAACATTCTATTTCAACAATTACTGTTAAATACTCTTCATATGTAAGTAATGCATCGCCTAAAACCCGTTTTAGATGAAATTTAGTTGATTTTACGCCTGCTTCTGCTAGGCCATTGAAATGTGGTGATGAAGCTGGGGAAAAATGCCACTTAATCCCTTCATAAATTAAAGACTTTTTAAATTGATCTGCATTTTTGTTAAGAAATTCAAACATATTTTTTAAGTCATTATTTGCTCTTATAAAATTACTACCATTGTCACTGAATATGTTATGTGGCTTTCCTCTTCTAGATGCAAATCTTCTAAATGCAGCTAAAAATGCGTTAGTAGAGAGATCAGACACTAATTCAAGATGACATGCCTTAGTAGAAAAACATACAAATATACAAATATATGCTTTCGTTATTTTGCATCCTCGTCCTTGTCTATCTTTTAATTTAATTGGACCACAATAATCAACCGCACAATTGGTAAATGGTGGTGACGGAGTGACTCTAAACTTTGGCAACTGTGCCATTATAGGAGCAAAAGAATTTGCTGCGTGTCTACGACAAATCACGCAATTTTTTATTACTGTTTTTGCCATTTGTAATGAAACTGACTTCGCAAAACTAGAACAATGTTACAGTATCTATGAGGAACAATCTGGTGCACAACTAAACCTTTTAAAGTGTCGCGGAGTTTGGGCTGGTTCGTGGAAAGGAAGGCAAGACACTCCTCTAAACTTCAAGTGGTCATCAGACGGTATCAAAATATTAGGGGTTCCTTTAACCAATAGTGCTGAACAGGATTCGATACAAGCCTTCAACGTGCTCTGTGAAACAATCAACCTTTCATCCGAAAGATGGAAAAGAAGACTGCCATCTTTATCCCTAATCGGCAGAAAAATCGTCATTAATACATACATCGCTCCGAAGCTATATCACATCCTGCAGTGTATCACTCTTTCGAGTAAGCAACAAAAATCTTTACAGCAAAAGTTAGTTGACATTATTTGGAAAGGGAAACACTGGACTTCGCATGAAGATCTGTGTTTTCCAGTTCGGAAAGGTGGTTTGGGACTTGTGCATATCCCTTCCAAAATTAACTTAATGCGGGCGTGGCTGGGAAAACGTCTCATCACGGTAGCTGAAGATTCAAGTTGGAGGTCGATAATAGAGGAGAGTATGCAAATGGCGGATGATCTGGGACTGTCGTGGCAATGGTTTTTTTTGGATGGGAAAAGACCTAGCAGTCCCTTAGTCTCAACCTATGTACAAGAGCTTATCTCTAACATGCAAGCAATAAATTTTACATTGGAGCACTTCGACTTTCTTAAAACCCCAACCACAACGTCAACCTTAATATCACATGCCGTACCGCCTTTATTTAGTGCCAACTGGGCTAAGTGGGGTTACAAAACGATAGGCGACTTCAGGATTGGGGATAGATGGGTGGACGAAGAGGACTTACTTTTGCCTGAAAATGCCACTATGAATGTCAGGAACCAACTTATAGCCCACTACAGAAGGATTAGAGTTTTTTTCCAGGCACTGTATACCGAGCGCGATGTAAACCGCAGAAATACTCATGAAATTGTACTAAAATTTAAGTACTTTGGAGGCACCACATTAACTCTGAATAAAAGCAACAGAAGAAAGCTACAAAACCTAATCATGGCTGAGTACTTTCAAAGGACTTCCGACAAATGCTTAAGTAATCACTGGACCGAGAACGATACTAACTGGTCATCATTTTTCAACTGCTGTACATCTGGTTCAATGGCAGAAATTAGCTGGCGGTTTGAGAAAAACAGATTAGCAGATCCGACCTATCTGCTCAAAGCAAACATCAGGGTTACTGAGAACTGCCAGGTTTGCGAAAAGATCACAGCTAACGCTTGGCATATGATAATAGAATGTCCTTTAGCCAAAGAAATTTGGGGCCTTGTTATCGCATGGGCAAGTAACATCTGGCAAGGTAGAAGACTATCACTAGTTGACGCGTTATGTGGAGTAAAAGAGAACAACCGCAGTGATATTTTAATCAATTTTCTGACTAATTCTGCAAAGTTTTATATATATGTTCAATTAATCACCGCCATGAAAAACGACACGCATCCAACGTCCCTTCGGGATGGCTACCTAAAGGGCATTAAAAGCAAAATCTTAATAACTTTCTCGTGGCATAAAGGCATGAATAAAATGGACAGTTTTAAAGATCAGTGGTGCATTGGCGAAGTGCTTTGCAGTGTTAATCGGGGCGGAGAGTTAAAGTGGGGCGGAGTGTTGGATTTGTAAACACGTAAATAGTAACGTTCTGTATGTAGGGAAAAAAAATTTTTAGGTTAGGTTCAACCCCTCGTTGGTTTTATTTGTAGTAGACACAACGTTTTAATAAAATAATAATAATACTTACATAAGTATGTATATATTACCACATATACCTTTAGTAAAATTCTGCACACTCCGTTTGTGAAGCGATCAAAACTGAAAAAGGGTAAATTATAAAAGAGTATAATGTAGGTACGGTATATGTTCGTTATGCTCCAATAACACTTTGCAACACATTTCGCTTTTAATTAATGCACACATCTTTCTGGTGAAGAACCCTGCAACGTATTTAACAATTTGTTCAATATTGCAGAGTTCATGCTTTTTGAACAAACATTTATTGCATATCTTCCACTTCTATTTCATTGTTCCAGTTAATTGAAGCATTAATATTTTGTTCGTTGCTTCCTTGCGACGGACAAGTTATATAGAATAGGGATTGTATCCAGAGGAATACAACTCTCCACCCCACTATCTCACAACTCTGTTGTAATCAGCAAGCGTTTGTACTTTTGTAGGTATATGCACTTTCAAACTGCCTTGAGGTGGGGTTGTTATTCTATCCATCCCTTGATCTTTTGGAAGAAGAAAATAATTCCAGATGGTCCTGGCTTATTTTAGGATCGTTCGCAAAAAATACATTGTCGTTTCCCTATGGTGCATACTACGTGGGACACATTGAATCTTTTTCTTCCTGATATATCTGCTTGCTTGTGAATGGCAGTTAGCGCTTCTGATGTGAATCCTGGGGAACAATTGACTGATTTATACAATTTGCCGATGGTGCACACCAGTATCATACACTGTTCTGATATAATTTTCCCCTTTTGGAGACAGATCATTAGCTTATACAGTTTGCCGCTAAGTGCGGAGAACCAGGTGATCATGCACCAACAAAGTAATTAATGAACTGTAATCTATCTTGATTGATACACTTCTTATCAGTTTGGTTGTTATCATGAAGGAAAATAAAGTACAACCTTAGTAAATAATTCTTATATTGAAAACTGTACAAATAAAATAAATGTACCTATATTCTTTTCCGAGTGAATCTTGAGGGCAAACGCAGCTGATGGTTTCAGAATGGGAAATTATTTCTAAACAAAATAGCAACCATAAAATAGAATAAATGAATTGGAATACTCACAATTATACGACAACAGGCTCTGGTAATAAAGCCCTAAGCAGTTTCTTGTACTTCAGTAATAAGCTGTTGATACTATAGCAAACCGTTGACGATGACGACGGTGAATATTGAATTGAGATGTCTTCTCCCCTAACGGGTTTAATCATAACGATCTTCCTTCAGGATATCTTGTCTTTATCGAATGTGGCGGCGATCGATGTGTATTGTTTCGAACATCCATCGATGACCTCTCTCTTTTTAAGACCAAATCCTATCTGTCACATGTAAGTACAAAGGCAACATACACTGTAGTTAAACTACTCCATACAAAGTAATCAGTCGCCTAAGGGTTAGGCATCCAACCATGTACATATTTGTTACGTGATGTAACTAGATGTCACGCCGCCACTGGAATATCGCTTGCAGGTTATATCACTTGCTTACCTACTGTAATCGAGAAATTATCAATGAAAAGAAGTATAAAGCAGTATTTTATTGATGCACAATAATATAGGACAATTGTAAGGTTGTGAAAATGAAGACCTTAGAAGTGTTTTATTAACTACCATGAAGATTTAATTAAACTTAGCCAAACCAGACAACGTGCCGTTTTTTATCTTGCCTATATGAAATTATATTCCTGCTGGACAACGACCACTGCAACTTTTGCAGTTGTACGCAGAACAATTCACCACGTTTATATCACACCAGTTTTGCACACACAAACTTTATCAATAATGAAGAAATGTCAATAAATTCACACTGCCACCACGCTTTGACTGCCACCGAAAATATGGCGGTCGTCTCGAAATTCGCGTCAAATTCACGCATGCCGTGGATGCGGTATTACGGGTCCCCTCTCTTTCCTTGTCGAAGGTTTGACGTTTGGATGGTTTCAATCCTTAGACCATATAGTACATAAGTACATGGACTGCTATTCGCCCTATGCTTTCAATACAAAATGGGTGGTCACGGATCGAGGGCACTGTAGTCGTGGGTATGTGAATCTCATGGTAAACTAAAGTCGTATGAACACCACTCGGAGCAGCTTTCTAGTAACCACGTAGTACGGGAAGCTTTAAATACTCTTCATTATTTGCTATACGTCCAAAAATAAGAATAAGTTTGCTTTTTTTGGGATATCTAGGCGATTAATTAATTGACGTTTGTTAATTTATAGGTTGACAGTCTCACATCGTGTCTCATCGGACAACTTCGGACAGACTCGTTTACCCTGAAACTCACATACCCAGGCGATGTCCTTGACCATTTTTAGTTACAATTAGCAGTCCATGTACTATATGGTCTAAGTTTCAATCACATTAACAAATTCGAACCACGCATACTCGATCAAACATAATGAATTATTTTGTAAACGAATTTTGACGAAGAAAACTATTTGTAAAACATAAAATTATGTATGTACCACGGGCATAAACTGATGTTTATACTCTCGGGCGACTAACTCGTCACCATCGAGAATATAAACATCACTCTTATGCCCTTAATACATAAATAACTATTATTTATTTAATTCTGCAATAACTATAAAACAAGTATAAAACCTACTGTGATCGGGATTGTCATATTGTTTTGTTATCAAAAGAAGTGACCAAATACGGATTTTCAAAAAGATCGGATGAATTTTACTTTGTAATTAACACATTGTTAATTTCGGGATTACTTTTTTATATTTTTCTATAAAAACCAATAACATTTGAAAATGAACGTTTCATACCAACTGTATCTTATGGAAAATTCAATTCTAAACAAATTCAAATTGAAATGACAACATCCAGCCCAAACCTTAATTTGACTGGGCTATTAGGTGATGATGTCAGCCTATTTTGCTAAGAGTAGCTTAATCAAGTTAAAGTTTTTCCTTCTTTGAGAGTATTCGCCTTTATGATGATGTTGGCTTCGTCGGGGGACTTTTTCGGGCAATATGATGCATTTAAAAGTTTGCTTTTAAGTAAACGTATTGATAAATGTGCAATATTTTGACTCAATTTTTGCAACTTAGGAAAAGGAGGCGCGAGAGGAGGCGGTTGTAAATAATTGGATCCAAGCAATGCGCTATAACGCACATCTTCACAGACACTACAGTAATGTGGGTAATCTACCAAAATTGCCAGAATTGTTATATGGAGATGGAGGCCAGTAGGACAAAACATTTCCAGTTTACCAATTACGTTGTGCAAGTACCTACGTCATTTTCTGTTCGCGGTAACCTTGCAGTAATTTAGTTGAGAGAAACTTATGGTACAAAGTACTTGAAATTAATAGTAGAGTACCTTTGGGAAGTACCTATCGCAATTCGCACTGGATTTAAATAAGTGGCTTCTACTCTACGTCGACTGTAACCGAGACTGTAACTATACGACCATTCTGTATACGCCGCAATCCGATGAGTACGCCGATATGACGTTATTATTAAAAGGAACTCGGGGTCATTCTTTTGAAGATGATAACTTCTACAATTATCGGCATATTTCCCCCTTCCCAAACTTTAAACGCAAAACAAGATCTCAAGTTCGTTTTTCGATTTAATAATAGTGCTCCAAGAAGAAAGGCGAAGAAATGGTGTTTAGTTTTTTTTTCGTTTTGAAATTTTTAGTGTTATTGCATTACGGAATTTGTCAGCTGGATGTAGGCAAGTTGTTTCTTTTTAATTTTTTTGGTAATTAGAATTTGGCATGAGAATTACCTACATCATTATATTATGCCTACATACTTACGTGCATTTATTGTAGGAGTAACTTTCCTAGGCACGCAAAGTAACAGAGTAGGTAAATAGGTAATAGGTAGACTTATGTCTATAAATTATTACCGAATATCAGAGGTCATAGGTCACGAGTTTGTTGGTACCTAGTGGTTCATTTAGTATATAACGAGCGAACGAAAAAGGATTGACGTCGAGTCGCCTTTGGAAGCTCAAGTTAAATATGAATTTGTAATTTCCATGTAAACAAAAATTCCAAAGTTGACTAGACAGCAACTAATTTTTTATCGCATAGCATAATAGTACATGCTTCGTAATAGGTGTAACAGTAGGTGTGCTTTTGCTCTTCCTTTGTTTTTCGTTATTGGTGAATTGAAAATTGAAATTGAAATCAAATTGGTAATCCCCCAATTGATATAAATTGTTGGTCATAGAGCGTGTTTTCCACAGGAAATAAATAATGCTAGCTGACGTCAGAGTATAAACGAGTAGTCGTAATGAAGTAAATAATAGTAATACTAGTCGTAAATTGGTTTATAGGTACCTACTTTTACCTCTTCGGTAATTACGCAATTTCTTAATCAATTGGCAATCATGTTAATATTGAAAAGAGAATTTAATATGGTATCTTTTTAGATTAAGGAAGATTGTTCAACAGTCATTATAAAGAACTGTTGTAGTATTTTTCTGAATCTTTTTTAGGGCTATTCTCAAATTGACAATCATTTGATTTTCCCTTAAGAGAGCGAATATTTTCACCACCAGTTTGACGCAAAGGGCACATGACGCCTATATTACCTTTTTTTATAGCACTATTAATTACGAAGGGGCCCTATAAAAGTGTGGCCTGTGTGTACGTATTAACATATTTAAGGTGTTCTTGTTGTCATATTCAGCATATTCTCACGAAACCCAGTGCACTCCGCTAATTGTAACATGGTTTCTTCATTTCTATTTGCTAAGTTACGATAAGTGCCCTATATTTTTGCCTGCATATACAGACTGTTTCACGCAAACCATTGCCTACAAGAAACCGGGCTCTCATTGATATATAATTTAATCTGAAAATTTCCATACCAACTTAGTTTGTCATGATCTATCGAGAGAAAATATCTTGATAGTTTCGCTTGTGGATAGTAACTTTCTTATTTTAAATATAACGCTCTGTATTTTATTACCTTTTTCTTTTTTCAAAATATGTAACATTTGACTGCTTTTCTTTTGAGCCCTGTACCTATGAGCATAGTATTGTGTTATATTATGCTATGAGTTATGACTCCATTAACTTGAATTTCCAAGTCTTTAAACCCTCGTTTAAACCTTAAAAAGCTGATTTTTTCAAATTACAGATGCTTTATTTTTTTTCACTTTCAAAAGTCGAAAAAAATTCTATACCTATCTGTCATGCTTTCCGGTTTATTTTAAATTTTCTAAAATTGTGACCGTTATGAATTTATATTTTACAATTATAATAAGATGTCATTGTACACCGTTCTTGGAGATCTACCCTGGGGAAAACTACTGCTTTCAACTTGACGGAGTGCCGCCTCCTTCTCCCTATGATTCTCTTATAACTCTCGCCAGGAAAGATTGCCGGTCACAGCACACCTTGTGTCGACCTACAATCTATGTTTTTCTTTAAGATGCGAGCGACTTCCGGAATAGGATCATGTCGATATTGAACGAAAAGTCTTTTTGTTCAACATTGACACGATACTATCCCGGAAGTCACTCACATCTTTAGAAAAACATAGATTGTAGACCGGGATCAAGTGTTCTGTGACCGGCAATCTTTCCTGGCGAGAGGTTTAGGTATATGTACCTTCGACGAACATTTTTGAAAACCGGTGGATTGGGCTAGAGGTCCGAGGCGTTGACCTCCTAGATATAACGCCACTCGACTTTTATGTATAAAATTTATTTCTGTTGTTTCTCGTGAAGAACTGGAAGTCAGGGTGAGAAGAGCTTTTGATGAAATGGATATGCAGTAGGAATTCTTAAAGGCGACTACCTCGAAGACTACCAACGGAGTTCATCGGAGAATCATATTATGTTTTGACAAAAACGGCGGCCACGTAGAACTAAACCTCATCAATTGATGTTTGTTTTTATTTTATCGTTTGTTATTATTGCTTGTGTATGTTTATTATGAAATTTTGTTTAACTGTGTATTCAATAAAGTAAATAGGATTCTTTTCCTATTTAGTGATAGGTATAAAGAAGGTGATTGATCGATGTAGAATTTTCTTCAACATTTGAAAGTGCAAAAAATAAAGCATGTTGTATTTGAAAAAATCAAAGTTATGAGAAATGACCATTGGTTTTTAAACACCCTGTGGAAGGGCGAATTTAAATCATTCTCATGTAGTATCAAGTCTAAGTATTGTTGATTTTACTCCACTCAATACAGTGTGTACTTTTTTTTACGGGTCATATAAAAAAATAAAGTTGATGATGATTTTTTCGAAACGAAACGTTGTATTGAAAATAATTAACGTCTTGTGAGCTCAAAAAGTGTCAATGAGAAAGATTTTTAATTTTTTTGTATCTGTTCAAATATCGCCACAAAAAAAAATCGGCGAATTTCGGTTTTTCTCCCATATCTTCGGAAGTAATCGGAATTTTTGGTTTTCTTTAAAGCATAATAATAGCTGTTTAATTGCCCAACTATTCCTTACTTTGACCATCGTCGAATCTTCTATGATTTCGGAAATCCCCATGATAGACCTTTGGCCACAGATCTGGGCTTTGGCACAGTGTACGAGTATGTGAGAGGTCTTTCCAGTTCCACTAGGTCTAGGTTTTAACAAATCTGTGAAAAATGCAAAGCGAGATGAACACCGCGATACCTTGAAGTATGAGTAGGGGATCGTTAAAAAATAAAGTATATTTTATTTTCGCGTTACATGTTAAATAATATCTCTTATTATTTTATGTAGGTGATCCGTGCTTTGTGCAATCTACAAGTAATAATGGCGTATGTGATTTGTTGTCCCTTTGTATGCGGGCCAGAGAAGACTTGAAAAAGAACATTTTTCCGCAAATATGTGGATTTCAAGGGACCGAGCCAATAGTATGCTGTGTTGGATCCGGTCCGGGACCGACGACGCCCAGAACTACCACTTCAACTACAAGAACAACAACCAGAACGACGACTCGTACCACAACAAGACCTACATACACCGGCTATGGAGCGAAGAGTAGGCAAAGTAAGTATAGATTTTACGTGCTCAACCGGACGGAACTGTGTAAAATATACCTACGTTTAATTTCAGAATGTGTCGAGTATCAGCAATATGTTTATGAAGAAGAGTTTTCAGGGGTATTTGTGGGTAATACACAAACACGTGTAGACAAATGTGCATTGGTATTTATCGAGAACATTGTTGGTGGCACCGAAACCAAGCCTAGAGAATTTCCACATATGGTAATTTAGCTAAAATATTGTTTTTACAAGTCATTTTTCTTAACATTCTAGGCCCTGATAGGATTTAATGACGCGGACACCAATCAACCATTTTGGCAATGCGGTGGTAGTCTAATTAGTGACGAGTATATATTGACAGCCGCTCATTGTCTTTACGACCAAGTATTGTAAGTTACTGTACAAATTGACCTGTTTGTATCATTTAAAAACATTAGGAAATGGTTTTTTCTGAGACTATTTTAGAAAGAACTACTTTCGTCTCTAAAAAGGGTGAAGAAAATGTGATTTTCTTCTCTAGTGAGGAAAATAAAAAACAATTGCTGCTTTAATCGTAATAATCACATTTAAAATTCAAACATACTCGTATCTAGATTGGTAAGGTATGTGCCAAACTTCATTAGTGCGTACGACAATTTTTTAATTCTGATCGTAGTTTCCGAAAAAATTATGTGCAAAACTTGAGAAGAAAGTGTTTCAACTCTTGTTCAAACTTTGAACTCTAGTGAAAAACTCTACTTTCTTCTCTAGTTGTACAAATAACTATTATTTCATACTATCTAGTAATCGCCTGAGTCTGTGGTAAATCGTATTTTATTGTCACTCGAACAAAACAACACGCAAGCGACCAAATGTCATATTTAAACGCTACTGGGCCATATGAATAAAAGTGCTCCTTCACATTGGGCGACTTACCAGCGCTACTGAGCACCATGACAGCAGGAAAGGACGCAGTGCAGTGCTGCTAAACAGACCACTTACGAGTATTTACTTTGAGTTTTGCAAGTATAAGCATATACTCCCTTTTATTCATACGGGCCACTGACTTGTAAAATTGACAGCTGATCTGTAAACATTTTACAAGTTAGTAATTTAGTAATTTCATTGACTCCCTCGGACTGCGCAAACGCAAGCGCGCTAAAATTTGAATTTGCTGTAACGCGCTCGAATTAATAAAGCGTTCGGTCATCACTGTGAATTCCAGTTACATTATAGTCCCAACTTGAAAGCAACCGTCATGATCTTTTACAGCATAATATTGAACAACAAGAATTGTAACGTTATTATTTATTATAATCAAAACCCTTCTACCATCATGGTGTACGGAAAATAAATTAACATATTCTACCAGATAAGTCACTATATAAACCAAGCTATAAACTATTGTGCTCCATTTTTTCCTATCTCGCGTTAACTTCTTAAGGCGCAGATAGACTAGCAAATTACTTGCGACAATCTCGCGGGAGAAACTTCCACATGTATTTACACTGTGAGCTATAAAGTGTCACGATAAACTGTCGGGCAAGTTGGGTGAGCTATTGCTGCCGCAAGTTCTCACAAAACTGTTTACACTAGCTGCACTTTTAGCTTCCGCAAATGCTGGCAGTTGATACCATGGTGTATTATACCCCATGGTTGATACCTAGCAGCTGTTTTCGAGAATTATCTCACGTTATGGCGTCAATAGGACATCTTTGTGTTGCCGCAGCTGTAGATTTATGCAATAATGTGAAACACAAAAGAAGTGTTGGGTGAGAGAATGGATTTCAAGTAGAGAAAAGTATGGGGCCTACAATAAATTAATTGATGCGCTGATAATCGGAGAATCAATCCCAACAATTTAAAAATTTTATTCGTATGTCAGCGGTAGACCTTCAGGAACTGTTATTACAAAATTAAAAAGAAGGGTACTCATTTATGTGTTACAATACAATAATAAAACTCGCACATTTACTCGCCAAAATATCGAAACGAAATGGAAAGTTTGCGAGAACTTGGTGAGCTGCACTTTTGCCTGTTTAGACTGGCAAGAAAAGTGTCGCAAGAATTCTTCCGCGAGTTCTGTCAAATGGACTCGCAATGCTATTTACACTTAAGACAGTAGGGTCCGACAGTAAATCACGCGAGTTTTCATTCTAGTCTAAAGGCAGCATTGGCCTCCTTCCATTCTATGCCTTGAACTTGAAGTATTCTTGCTACTTAGGTACATATCCCATGTCGTCTTTATAGTGGGAGCGGCCCGTGAAAACAAACGGCATTTCGTATTAAAATTGTGCCACTTGGAACACATGTTCCCTAGACCTATTGGAGTGATTTGAGTCGCAGAGCCGCGGAAGTTCCGTCCCTTAGGATTGAAAATGGCGCCAATTTTCAAAATTGAGGCGATTTTCAGGAAATATCTGTTTTTAGAGCGATTTTTACGTTTAGGGTGACGTTTACGAGGTTTCCGATGGTCAAAAAGGACAAAAACAATATCCGAAGCTAATTTCTGTGTGGGAAGCATGATTGTATGATATCTTTAACGTCCGACAGGATTCGAAAGTTTCTTGGAAAGTTTGACCGATTTTCCTGGTTAAGGTGGTGTTTTTGAGATTCTTTTGGGTGAAGATGACCAAAAAAGACCCATTAAAGACCTTTTTCAACAATCGATATCCAAAGTAGGCATTTGCGCTCCTATTTGACAACGCCAACGTCATATTTTTCGAGGAATGTCAATTTGTCGCTTATAAGCGACAAAATAAAAAAAACGCTCGCTCTCCAAATTATAAACTATAAATCAAATATGCATTGCTCAGAGTATCCAATGACAACGAGTAAATGACATCTTTCATTTGGGCATAAGATTAAAATAATAATCTATATTTGAGTGAAAAATTTAAATTTTTGGAAATATGTGAACTGCTCGATTGTAGAAAAAATCTTGTGTGTAATTCGAGCGCAAATTGAATGTAGATTTCAAGAGATTAGCGCGGCAAATGTCTCTTTCAATCGTGCGTTCACCAGAACCAACTGTTTGCAAACCGTTTGCGCTTTTTATATAAGCATATTTACTGAACGCATTGCTAATTGTCAAACTGTTTGCAAGCGGTCGCCATTTTTTTAATCATAATTCAAACTCGCTGAAATTCACAAACATGTTGATCGGGCATGCGCATTTGTCATAAGCGCGGAATTTGCCTGGAAACCACACGTCTAATTTAATTTGAGTGAATTTTGAGAAAACCGTTTTGTATTCTTTTTGTACATTTCAATAAAAATACCTTTCTACAGTTTAAATACATCCTGCTATAGAAGATGAATTGAATTGTCCTATACGAGTAGAAAATCAAGATTGGAGTATTAAATGCATATTCACTGGATCCTTGAGTAAATATTTTTTATCCATAAATTGTACCTGCTTTATGAGAAGTTTTTATTTTCAGATTGTTACATTTAATAAATTTAATAAACTCACCACATAAGTATAGTCATTTTAAGGAAAGAGTTAAAATTTGTATAGGTGAAAAACGTATAGTTATAGCACAGATATACGACGTATATCTGTGGTTATAGTGTTGCAATGCAGGGTTTGATGGCCAGCAATCTACTAGGAGACGAGCAAATCGTTCGTGCCGTTTTGGAGCCTTCATAAACCGCATATGAAGGGGTCCGTACAAGTCCAAATGAAATCCAGAGCACTCAGCCAGTATCAGTTATAGGTTATAGAGATACTTGTGGTACCCTAATTAGATTTGAAAAGAAGTTTAGTGTGGAACGATTTCACTACAAAGTTATTACTCGCCGAGTATTTCAAATTTGACATTCGTCAAAGGGAGGCTGAAGTAATACTGTTAAAATATCTTCTTTTTTTGTCTGGCAACTTTGTCGTGGGCAGTGTACGTTCGCAGTTTCTTGCGTTTTTACGGATTAACAGCACCATTTATTGATAGGAAAAAGCTCTATCAAATGACACAGATAGTAAAAATGCCTTCCATAAGAAAAAACAAAGCTGATGATGGTTAACCGGAGACGAAACGTCAGACTAAAAATTTAAAACTAGCATCTTGTATATGGAAAAAAGTGGTTATGCGCCGTTTATTTTGAAATATCTTTTTTATTATACCTGAATCACAATCTCCGTTTTAAACACTCAAATGCGTGCGAAAAAGGGCCTTTAAAACACACGTGCTTTAAAGTTGCTAAGTAACGATACTTCAAGTATGACTTTTGAAACTGTCATCTGGGATGAAATAAAAAATCCTCTTAGGTCGCTTTCTGTAAATGCAGAACATTTTTTTGGCTTTTGTACCTATCCTTTGGTTGAAGCACAAACGCGCGTAATTTATGGTATGCTTCCAAATCTGTTCCACTTTTTAATCGCAGCATTGTTTTAAAGTTTTGAATGTATGCACCAAAATATAGAAGATTTAAATACCTTTGACATTTCCTTCATATATGCCAGCATTATGGATGCATTTAAGACTGTATTCGTAGGTAACTTCCTATTCGTCCATGGAAACAACTTTTCATATTCTTTATAATAGGCTTTACTGGATTTGGATTTTACACCTACCAACGTTTGTTTAGATTTTACAAGCGATTTAATGGACGATGTATTATCTTTTTCAACGGAAATCGTTTTATTTACAAAGATGATGATGATTATAAGCAAACTTCAAGTGACATTTCCATGGCAATCGTGAAATTACGAACACCCAGCCCACTTAATTAGACATGTATTCGAGTATAACGTCAATATGACTTCATTGTATTTCCTATTTTTAAATTATACTGCAGGTATAATAAAAAATACTATAAGATACACGTGTATAATTTATCTTTAAAGCACTTGCAACGTTAAAGGCACTCCGCTTTGCGTCGTGCCCTTAAACTCGTTGCGCGTGCTTTAAAGACTTGATTATACACTTGTATCTTAATATACTATTTAAATAACTTAGGAACAAATAAAAACGATTTTGTAAAATGTCTTTTTTTTTCTGGATATCTCCGAAAGTAGTCGGAATTTTTTCAGTTTCAAAACGACATTTTGTTAAGCATCAAACTACTCAACTTTGCCAACCTCTATTTCTTACAGTTCCCGAGATCCCCATAGTGGCTCTCGAATTTGAATAAGCCTGCATACATGGAATGCTCCCTTCTTCATTCATAATTAAATTATTCGATTTATCTCTTACAACTTTAAAGCGCATTGGGAGCAATGTGCAATTATCCAATTTTTGGTCGTGATGTATAGGTACTAGTAATTTACTCCAATTTCGCGCATAAACCTGTATGTCGATGGTTTAAACAAATATGCATGCCTTACAAAATTACAAACATGTTTGTTTGAGTTTAAATTGCGATTCAAAAAATGGCGTCCGCTTGCAAACAGTTTAACAACTAGCAACGCGTTCAATAAACGTACTTATCTAAAAAGCGCAAACGGTTTGCAAACAGTTGGTTCTGGCAACAAACGCACCCTATCGTTCACCTGCGCCTAAACAGTTTGTGTTTGCAAACGTAATCAAAGCGTAAACACGTTTGGTTCTGGTGAACGCACCCATATCATTTTGCGCTCTTAATACACAAATAGCTATTTTTTATGCATGTTTAAGTATTTTGAATAAACAGGTCGAGGTAAACTAAGTGCAAAGGTGAAACTTATTCATTGAATTCGGTTTTTAACTAAAAATTGTTGATTATTGAAACGTACATATTTAAGTAAAAAGTCATAAGTCATCAAAGGGGAATGCCTCATCATCGCTCAGATCTCCTGTTGCTATCGAGATATAAAAAAATATTTAGTTAAGATCATTAAAAATAAAACTCTGACAGTCTCGTTTATAAAATAAGCATGTACATATATTTACTCGGCTCCGATTTTTAGAGTGTTCTTGACAGTTAGAACACTGTAGGGTGCAGGGAAGGCTGTTTCGCAAGCATGACTTGACAGTTGTACGCAAATTCAAATTTTAGCGCGCTTCCATTTGCGCAGTACCGAGGGAGTCAATATCCAACACATCTGCAAGGGCGTATCGGCACCGTCAAAATATTCGTTGACGCTCCGTGCATGGCACGTTACGGTGCTGATGGTCGGTGACAAAACGGTCTAGTGGGCATAGTCTCATACTATTCCATGCAAACATTTTTTTTTTTTCACTACTAGCGTTGAGTGACCTAGATCCTTCTTCACTCAACGCTACTAGCGTCTGATGACATGATTATTAACCTTTTTTCCACTTGTAAAGTAGGCTTTCTCGGCATTTGTTCAAAGTGGTTAATAATGTGGACATTATTAACTAGTAGTCAATAATGAGAACTGTCACGCTGTCACTTTTAGAAAATACAACCCGAAATTTCACTCAATAAACGTTTAGAAAAGTTCTCTAAAATGAATAATTGCCAGTGTGGGGCGCTATGTACAGATTGCATATATTTACTTTTTGTCTATCGTATAAGACTATTTCCCCAGCCACTGCCTGTCTATTTCACCAAATTATAATTTATTACTTCGCGTTTACTTTAGACAGACTTATACATAGAAATTACGATCTAATCTGACTATTTAATTCATTCAAAGAGCCGTGAAATATGTATTACGATACTGATAAGCAGAAACGAAGCTGTAAACTCCAATTTGATTCATTTGAAAAAGTTGAATGTCGGTATTAAATTAAGCAATAATTTGTTAATCAAATGATCCTGATTCGGGACCAACGTCGAAATGATTAAACATCTTCCACCAACAGGGAAAATACCAATACAATACCATACTAGAACAACACAACTACCCAGAAGAATGGAAAGAAGCCCTTATAATACCTATCCTGAAAACAAATAAAAACAAACTGACACCATCCTCGTACACCCATCTCCCTTACTAGTCAATGTAGAAATTCACTCGAAAAAGCAATGAAAACCGCATACTTATTAACATCAAATGACATGATTCGTGACCAAAAGTCGCGTCATAAAAAGTGGCAGACATTACTTTGGCACAGGAATTTGCCCGGCAGACATATAGTATTGTCAGGGAAGACATTATCTACATTTTAAAAAAATTTCGCTAAATTCCGTGATGACGTAAGCGCGACTGTTTTTTATACCCCTTTCGCGCCCGGCAGACATGTATTCAGCACGGGGAATCGGCTGGCACACATATGTTTACGTGATGTGCTCGTTGCCAGCAATAATCCCATATATTTTTTTTCTAATTCCGACATGACTTAAGTAACCTATTTTTTATGTACACTTAATTAATTAATTAGCCACAATAAGCACAGGATATGGCTGGCAGACATGGCGGTTTTGTTTTTTCCTATTTCAAACCTACTTATTAATAATATTTTTGTTGAATTCCGCGATGACGTAGGGTTCTGTGTCGCTGGTTCTTAGACTATAACATATCTCAGAATTTTAGTTTAAGCTTTGAATATAAATTTATTCAAAGGTTTAAGTTAGAATATACATAATTTGACCTTGCTATTCTTATCTTTTTTCACGGCTCCAATAGAAGACCAATGCTAGTTTAACTACTAATTTGAATTGGCACCGTGTAATTCCTCATAATACTATACCTACGTAGGTACTAGCACAGATTTAAATATACTATTTAAATCTGTGGTACTAGGTACTAAATTTCATCTCCTTCTTTTCCTCCTCTAGTTCTTATCTTGTATTCTGATCATTAATTTAGAAGTTTTTTTTTATTGTTTATGAATAATTATAATTGTTTTTTTATATTTTGATATGTGAAATTTTGACATGAGACCTATGAGGAATAAAGGCTATTATTATTATATTATTATGGCATTAAGGTTAAAAACTATAATCTATAATAACCAACAAGCTTGTCTCTCTGAATGCGTACCAAAACACGTCTAATGAAAATTTGCTTTTGCAGAGGTGAACCTAGATACGTGCGAATTGGTGAACTGCAATTAGATACGAACCGAGACGATGCGCAGATACAAGATTTTACCATATCTCAACTGATTAGACATCCCGACTATAAACCTCCATCCCAATACAACGATATAGCATTGCTCAAACTAAATCGGAAAGTACGCCTCAATTCGTATGCAAGACCGGCATGTCTTCATACAAACATGAATATACCAGTTTTGAAAGCAGTTGCGTCCGGTTGGGGCAAAGTGGGATTTTCTTCAGACGTTAGCAAGCATTTACTTAAAGTAACCTTGGAGTTTTTTACAAATCCTGAGTGCAATAGTACATATCGCAATAACATTGGAATGAGACTAAGGAATGGAATTGTGGAGACTACACAAGTATGTGCCGGTCATCATACAGAAGCCAAAGATACTTGTCAGGTAAAAGCTTCTCTTCACAGCTCAGTTTTTATATCTTTCTTCTTTACAGGGCGATTCTGGTGGACCTCTGCAAATTGTTAATCCAGATCCAAACATTTACTGTATGTACTCCATAGTGGGAGTTACGTCATTTGGAAAAGCGTGTGGGGTTGCCAATCTTCCCGGTGTTTATACAAGAGTATCCAACTATGTCGACTGGATAGAAAAAATTGTATGGCCATAAAGTGGAAACAAAACTGTGTAGAAAATTGCTGGACTTTATGTACCACAAAACGGAACATTTAGCATTTACGAAAATTATATGAACGGCAGCCACATTTTCTAGTTATTAATAAAACTGAAATACTTGTCAATGATAATAATAATTAATAGGATCTCTCTAATGTATAGACAGCTAATATTTAAGAAACTATTTAAGATAACTCATTATAGTGTTATAACAGATTGCGTATCTATACTGTCGGTCCACGATTTAAATAATTCTTTGCCAGAATCTCTTGGCACGATTTTTGTTTCAGAACGGAGTAGGTATGTAAAATTGCCTATTATAATGCACATTTTCTATGTATCTGTTGGTATCTGTATAACAAGTGATAGATTGCTGATGCCTAATGATTGATAATTAACCCATATTGTGGTCGTGAAACCTTAGACCATACAGTACGTGGACTGCTAATTGCAACTAAAATCTGGTCAAGAACATCGCCTGGGTATGCAAGTTTGAGGGTAAACGAATCTGTCCGAAGTTGTTCGATGAGACACGATTTCAGACTGTCAACCTTTAAATTTGCAAACCCCGCTGGACCTAGCCCCCCTCCCACCATTGTGAATCAATTTAAGAATGGTATCCAGTTCAGACGCATTGTCGCGTGTTTGTGCTAATATGCAGACTCGCTCTGATAAACTCATTTCTTTACACGACGCATTATACCATCCTGGTGTTTCGAGAATGACACACTGCGTGAAATCGAAAAATTTGCCTTTTTCTGTAGAAGAAGTCGGGAAAACGACTAATTCATGTCGCGTCTGTTCAGAAATAAAACCTAAATATTTTAGGTCTGCTACGCCTGGTCCTGGTTTGATAAAAGCTACCTCGCCATTTGAAAGATTAAGTATTGATTTTAAAGGACCAGTTCCTTTTAATACGAAGAATAAATATATACTCACTATTATCGATGCCGTCTTATCTTCATTCAGAGAGAGACTTCATTCGTTTCTTCGGAGGTAAAGATTTTCTAAATTCACGAGGAATAGCTACAAGTAGGACTACCCCATACAATCCTCGGGGAAACGGTCAAGTTGAACGATTAAACGGAACGCTTTGGAAGACAATCCTGTTGGCATTACGATCACTTATCAGGTGATAATTGGGAAGAAGTATTATCACAAGCTTTACATTCGATACGATCCCTTCTGTGCACAGCTACAAATTGTTCGCCGCATGAAAGGATGTTTAAACATACAAGAAGATCTTCTAATGGGGTTTCGCTACCGACATGGTTGACGAATTCGGAACAAGTTCTAATGCAGAAATTCAATCGCTCCAATAAATACCAACCACTTGTGGAGGAAGTCACACTGCTTCATGTAAACCCTGATTACTCTTATGTTCGCCTTGCAGATGGTCGTGAATCGACTGTTTCAAATCGTCACTTAGCACCATTGAATCAAGAAGGTGAAAGAATTCCGGATATGATCAACATAGAACAGCCAGCAACTTCTGATTCAGACCAATCACCTGTAGAGCAAATTGGCGAACCAAGACCATTGAATTCTATGAACGAAGCGATTTCACGAAGATCTGTTAGGGAACGTAGGTTCCCAATCCGTTACAATGATTATATTTTAAAATGATGTGTGGATGAATGTGGTAATATACAAACACATTATTTATTGCCTCATTCTAATGTAGTTTGTAATGTTATTTTACACATAGAGGACCGGAGGCGTATTGGCATTCTGTACTATTATTCATAAATAACTATTATTAGTTGGTATTTCAGATATTCTAGCACGGACATGTCAAGTCGATTTTCGGAAGGAACCTTCCGACTTATTCCCAGGAGTTCACGGTACGGGAATTTGAAGTCTACGGGGTTCCCCTCTTTAAAAGCTTCGTACTTAGACCCACTGGAGTAGTGACTGGCTTAAAGTTTGCCATTCCGAATCACACCCGGTCGTTGATAAAATCTCGCCGAGGCACAGCGATTTACTGTCCTTTTGCCGAAATTAAGTGCTCAAGCGTGTGCTTCACCTCGACCTCTTTCGACAGAAGTTCACCAATTTCAGAGATCTCAATGGAAAACACATTATGAAGCAGATATCAATTTACAGCGGTCCGAATTTTAAAGTCAAATAAAAATGTTATTATCCATTTATGTAAATGAATAAAATATATGTACAATTGTACGCTGCCTAAGTATGTATTAAAACCACCAAGGCGAAACACAGGAGAGAGGAAAAATGCCATTTTTCAAGAGCAACAAGACGCCATTAAAACTTAAATCGGTCCACCGATTGACTTTCGGACAACGCCAAACTTCTCAGCATGGCTTGTAATTATAGACGGCTGTGACCATGCCTCTTAAAACGTCAAATGCGATCCGACAAACGTCAGACCCCCGCACAAGATTGCCGGCTCACTTCTACGTGATTGGTTGTAGGTTTGTGACGTATTTAGACTGAAGCGTTTCAAATTCGGACTAAAAATACAGCTTTTCAATAATTTATTTTGGGTTTATTTTACTCGCAAATAAAAATTGAGGACACACGGGTCTTTTTGCTTTTATTGGACTTTGTAGATCAGAAATAAAAAATAAGCCGGGAAGCTCCCATCCAATATAGGGCATGGGTCTATCACCGGTCCAACATTTTCTGGGATGGTTACTAACTTTTTTGAACAAATCAGAATAGATATTACTTTCTATACTGTATTATGTCTGGCATCGTTGCGTGAGCAACACGGGGTCATTCTCAACATGCGATAAGTCAATTAGATTATAGTTGAACTCTCCCTTCCAAACTTTCAATGAAAACAATATTTTCAGATTCTTGGATTTCACAAACTAGTGTTGTGAAAGTGGAATTTGGCGGTATGGCGTTTTATGTATTTGTCGTCTTGAAGTTACTAGTGTTGCTGAATTACGCAATTAGTCGGGATGCTACAGAAGGCAAGTTTTTTAATTTGTCGAATTTATTGGGGTTTCTGAAAAGTCTTCTAAAAACGTTACTTGTAAATAAATATTATGATCATACGACAGTTTTTGCAGTAAATTGGGAGACTGTTAAACATTATGTGGAGCATGTCACAAATGGTCCAAAACGGCGATGTACCTACTGCAGAAATATCAAAAATATTGGCAAACGCGATGTTAACATTGGGTATTTTTTGAAGTACTGTTATATATTTACCTAATCAACAAGTACGTTAAAAGGTCAACAACTGCATCTATAGGCAATCGAGGAGAAAGAGTTTAATTTTCAATTTGGTTATTATTGTACTTTTCTGTACCTAACATATATCCTTGTAGTTACAATTTTTAATATCCAAATTACTTAGATTTTCCGTTGCAATAACCCAAAGACATTAGACAAAGTTAAAGAGGGCAGAGGTATTCGTTAACACTGAATCAGCTTACACTGCAAAAAATTAATATCAAAACATACATGATATTCCATTCCAATAAATGGTCCAATGCCAGTTTGCACCTTATAGTTAAAAAAAATTGCGGTTTCAAATCCACGAATACGTGGATTTGCTGCACTTGGCACAACTTTACCTCCCCTCAAGATGGTGGACTATCCGATACTTCTAGAAGTAGGTACGATAACGTATTTGCAAATTACGAAAAACCAGTTTCAAAATTCATCGAACTTAATATGTGGCCTCCAAATAATTGCTATCTTAGTTGATTACTATGTTTGCAGTAAGTACCCATGATACTACAAGCGCACCTATATTAGAAGTAATCGATGATAATGGTTTTCAACACTCTCCATGACATCGGATAGTTTTTTGTTGGAACCTCTGCGACAAAGAACTTATTAACGGATCATTGGGCGGTAACGAGTATAAGGTGGGGGATACTACCATGAATTTCAATGATTAATTTTAGGTTGTTTTAATATAAAGAATTTTTTTATTATCGTTTCCATGAAAAAATAAATTTAAAAAAAGTAAAAATATATACACCCTTTCAGCACGTCTTTCATTTTTTCTTCCAAACTCTTAAGAATTTTTAATACGATTTTAATGGTCGTCTTTCTGTGTAAGTTCTTACTATTTCTTGAATTTAAACATTCACAGTGTTGCAATGACTTTAAATGGAAGCCTTTTTTTTTAAATGACCCTTGCTTAGATCTTAGAACCTAGGTTTTTCCATTACCTAGTGTTGAATTTTACTTTATAAATATGTTCTAACATAAGTTCCACATTTTATCAAAATCGTACCAAAGCCAAGTAAGGTATTAAAGGCTAAAAAGGGAACCAAATAACTGTAGCCCATTGTGTAGGTAGGAGGTAGGTACATCTGTTTAACAAATGTAACCTTTCTGAACTTTTTACGATGTTTTATAGCTTTCTGCACGCTCACCACTTCCACGAAAGTAAAGTTTTCTAGCTCTTGTTTGATGGTCTTGTGTATAGTCATTTAATGTGTTTGCTTTACAATGGCGTATCACAATTCTACTAACCAGTCTATTAAATGCCGTTTTTAGTAAATCGTTTACGATTACTTTCGTAACTCGTTTCCATTTTAGTAATAGAAAATTTTTAGAGGGGATCTTTTTCGATACCATATACCTACACTGGAAAAAAAACCGGTCAGGGGTACCCATTTTTATGGTAAAATAGGCGCCAACTTGTAAAATCTTAACAGCTACCACTACAGAATGGTAATAAGTTATTGGTACCAATGGTCATTACAGCGAAGTGATAATTACCGCTACTAATCTCATTGAATTTTACTACTACGTGTTGTTATGATAACCGCTTTCATAAAACTTATATTTACCACTACACGCCGGTAAATCGTACGCGAGTATATTACTTCGGCAACTTTAGGTAATATACTTTAAAAAAGAATATAATAGTAAAGGCAACTCTTCTACAGTGATATTAATTTAGAAGTAGACATATAGGGATTTGTGTATAGGTATACCGAGGTACATACCTACTGTATTTCCCTAAGTCTCCTTTCAAAAGGCAAAAACTCTTCTCAATGGCACCTAATTTTGTCCATCCAATATAACTTTTGAAAACAAATAAACATATGGGTGTCATATTAATTAGTTTGAATATTGTTGCTTTGACTTATCAGAAAATAAATCTCTTACGCTCCTTAAACTGTTACCAGCACTATACCAATTGACAATATCAACTTTTTCTTCGGCGGAATACATCCCACATGACCGAAGATAAAAATACGGAAGCCAAAGCAGACATT